GGAAAGATGGAAAGAATCATGAGAGCTAATATACACACATACAGAAACATGCAATTGAAATGCATAATAAAAAAAAAACTGACTCCAGCCTCTTAATGTTTTTCACAGCTTTTACTTTAACCTCAGAGGTATCTTTTAGGAAGTAATCTCTCTTGTGGTGAAGAAGCATTATTTGAAGCTCAACTTTTCCTTCAGTTTCACTTCTTTAAATTAAACTTCTTTTATATTTGAGTAAGATTAAATTATTGAAATGGCATCTCTATTATTGTCCAATTCTTACAAAATATCTCTATGATATTTTCTCCTGTCTGTAACTAGGCATAGTGGGTTTTCTGGAATGATGTAATATTAAGGTTATTTCTGTGGTTGATTCTGAAAGGTGTATATAGCTGATTATTTTCTTGTCATTTTTTAAAGTTTTAATTTCTCAATAAATAAATTAAAAATTAAAGAATTAGAAAAAAATTTCAGGCATCTTACTCAACACATTCAGAAACAGATTTAGCAGAGATTGCTACCATCTCCCAAAGTCTACTCTCCTAACATTTTACGGAATTTTTAGCTTGTCACATGATGGCCAAAATAAAGACCCCATTTCCCAGCAGTGGCCAATAGGATATAAACAGACGAGCCATTTGGCAGTTTCTGGAACCATCTGGGAGTGTTTGTTCATTTTCCTTTATTACCTTCATTCCCTCCTGCTGTCTGGAATGCTGACTTCACCACGTGGGACCATGAGGTCCAGGTTTTTCAAAGCAAAGCAACATAGGAGGTGTGGACAAAATGTCACATCACCGAGACTGCCTATCTGGATAATGTGAGAAAGAAATGTCTACCTTATTAAAACAAGTAAACCTTATCCTAACTGAGCCACAGACATACACACACAAATAGAAATTTAGTCTTTGATACTATTTGCATTGTACATCAAGTGATGATGAAACAGTAGGTTTGGCACACACATAAACAAATCACTGGGGATCTAAATGTGAAAAAATTAATGTTTTTTTAGAAGATACAAAGAATACCTTTATGCATTTGAGATAGGAAAGGACTTTTTTTTAAAGGGGGCTTCCCTTGTGGCTCAGCTGGTAAAGAATCTGACTTAAAGGAGATTTTATGGTGAAAACCATAAAGGAAATAACAGGTAAATTTTACAACATCAACATTTTAAACTTCTGTATGACAAAAAAAATTATAAACAAAAGTAAAAGACAAGCAACAATGAGGACTGTCAAGTTCAACTTCACTGTGTATGTAGGGTAGGGGCATAGAGATGGTCAATTAAGTTTGAGGAGGGCTGCATATTCCCGTTACCACTCCGACAGTGACAGTGCATATTACCTTATCAAAAGCTCTGAGGACTTGTACAGAAACATTTTCCTGTGTGGAACTAAGCCTTCCATATATACAGTTGTTTAACTATGGGACCACTGTGTGTCTATGTGTGTGTAACAGCTGTGAAATTCTCCAGGGTTTCTAAGAAACACTAGGAAATGCTGCCCTGTGGCTCAGCTAGTAAACAATTTGCCTGAAATGCAGGACACCTGGGTTTGATCCCTGGGTTGGGAAGATCCCCTGGAGAAGGGAACAGCAACCCACTCCAGTATTCTGACCTGGAGAAGTCCAGGGACTGTATAGTCCATGGGGTCACAAAGAGTTGGACACGGCTAAGTGACTTTCACTATCACTATCAGGAAATGCTGCCTTGAGAAATAACATTTCACCTTGTGTGAGAAATGACTGCTGTATTCAGCTTTGCGTCTTCACAGATAACTCTCCCTCCTTCAGTAGTTCTGACCAGCAGCAACATTGAAGGAGGATGGGGCAAAGAAGGAGGAGGAGGAGAATGTGATGGAGGGAGCAAAGAAGAGGAGGAGGGGAGGGAAGGAGAAGGAGCAGAGAATGAAGAAGAGGGGAGGGAAGGAGAAGAAGAGGAATAAAAAGGAGATGGAGAAGAGGAAGAAAGAAAAACAAATTTGAGGTTTGGGGAGTAGATGTAAATTTTCCTAGTAGAGCCGAGCAAATATATCCCAAGAGAAGGAAGTCAGCTGTAATCTGGGCTCTTCCTTCTTACAGCGAGCAGCGATGGCTGTTAGAAGTAGATCATTTTGAAATATGCCCCACTGGGGGGTGGAGGGGAAGAACCATTTTAGAAATAATTTAGGGCAGGTCTCAGAGAGTTGTGATGCAGAAAATGGTAGTTGGGACAGATTCCTTGCCAGTTACAGTGGAGAAAAAGGAAATAACAGATCTGGTCTAGGATGATCAACTCAACACTGGGTGACCGCACCCCCCCCCCCACACACACCCTCTCTGGGTTCTGACATTAGGGCATCAGTCATATTTACAGGAAGATTTTATTATGCATTTTATTTCAAATATAGTTTAAAGCCTTTTACTTATTTTATTGTGTTTAATCCTGTGGCAGAGGTACTATAAGTGAAAGGTGCTCAGTCATGTCCGACCCTTTGCGACCCTGTGGACTATACAGTCCATGGACTTCTCCAGGCCAGAATACTGGAGTGGGTAGCCATTCCCATCTCTAGGGGGTCTTCCCAACCCAGGGATTGAACCCAGGCCGAGAGTGAAAAAGTTGGCTTAAAGCTCAACATTCAGAAAACTAAGATCAACGGCATTCGGTCCCATCACTTCATGGCAAATAGATGGGGAAACAGTGGAAACAGTGGCTGACTTTATTTTTCTGGGCTCCAAAATCACTGCAGATGGTGACTGCAGCCATGAAATTAAAAGACGCTTACTCCTTGAAAGGAAAGTTATGACCAACCTAGACAGCATATTAAAAAGCAGAGAGAAAAAAAAAATTAAAAAAAGCAGAGACATTACTTTACCAACAAAGGTCCATCTAGTCAGAGCTATGGTTTTTCCAGTTTTCATGTATGGATGTGAGAGTTGGACTATAAAGAAAACTGAGCACCGAAGAATTGATGATTTTGAACTGTGGTGTTGGAGAAGACTCTTGAGAGTCCCTTGGATTGCAAGGAGATCCAACCAGTCCATCCTAATGGAGATCAGTCGTAGGTGTTCATTGGAAGGACTGATGTTGTCGCTGAAACTCCAATACTTTGGCCAACTGATGCAAAGAGCTGATACATTGGAAAAGACCCTGGTGCTGGGAAAGATTGAGAGCAGGAGGAGAAGGGGACGACAGAGGATGAGATGGTTGGATGGCATCACCGACTCAATGGACATGGGTTTGGGTGGACTCTGGGAGTTGGTGATGGACAGGGAGGCCTGGCGTGCTGCGGTTCATGGGGTCGCAAAGAGTCTGACACGACTGAGCAACTGAACTGAACTGAACTGAATTCCCACATTGCAGGCAGCTTCTTTGCCAGTTAAGCCACCAGGAAAGCCCTAATTATTCTCAATTTTAGTATGAGGAAAGAGAGGCATAGGTAAGTAAATTGCCTAAAGTTAAAAAGATAGCAAGGGATAGAGTCAGGGTTCTAACCCTGGCAGTTTGCTGTAAGTCCAGCTTCCTTAACCACAGCTTTGCCCAGTTCTTGTAGATAACTACAACATAGCTTGTGAAACACCATGATAGGGAGGAACAAAGTGAATACACTGAGTCAGAAAGGACCAGCAGGATGTCGGTTCACCTTAGTGAGTGTTTGCCCTGGAGAGAAGGGAGGGGAATGCCACTTCAGGGTGATAGGATCAACTACCTGAAAGTCAGCAGATGGGACAGGGAGGGGCTCTTCTTAAAGTCAGGTGTGCCAAGTCCACATATGGTTTTTGGGCACCTTCAACCAGGACAATTTCCTGAGTCAGAGGGACAGGCTGGGTTGTTCCTCAGGAAACTGTTAGTGGGTGGGAGGGGTGTGGAGGGTGGATACGCCTGGGATGAGGCCACTGGAGGAGCAGGAGGCAAGCCTTGCTATATATATTTCCAAAAGAGAGAGCAGAGAGAAAGGCAGAGAGAAGGGAAAGAAAAAGAATTTCAGAGGATTTAGAGATGGATTTGATATAGTCAGTGAAAAGGTCCAGAACCCCCTGAGGCCTCTGGCTTGGGCAAAGGTATTCGTTTTTCTAAGTTTTGTACAGGTTTTGAGCAGTGAGATTAGAGAAAGAATGTGCATGCATAGGGAGCCGTAGTCCTTTCTGCACAGTGCCCAGATTCCATTAAGACATTTCCCCAAACCCTTGGGGGCAGGAAGGGTGACAGTCACTTGCTATCTGATGTCCTGACTGTCCAGCTCGGCTTTTCTATTGCATGAGTCCTGAGACTGAACTGCGCATCCTGAGCATTCGTTGCGCAAGAAGCTGAAGGCTGGTCCCTGGCCCGGGAAGGCCGCCCGGCCGGACGCGCGGGTCCCGCCCTGTGTACCGCCCTGCCTCGGACCGGAGCATCAGGTGGGGCCCAGGGTACGGTCATTCGAGGCTGAGGCTCCTCTCCTGCACCCCACGGGCCGCAGGCAGTCCGTGGACACTCTGGCCAGTGTCCCGATGTACTGCAGGCTCCGGCCGATCGGTTGGAGGCGGCTTGGTGGGGGAGACCCCTAGGGCGCACGCGGCACCCCAATCTCCTCCGCACGGAGGGGACTTCCTAGCGCGCGAAAGCCGGGCACTCCCTCCGGGGCTCGGCCCCAGGCTCTCGGGGACACGCGGCAGGCCAGCAGACACCGGCCCCGGCCACCGGGGACTGCCTTCCCGGCCCCCCAACTTGGAGACTACAAGTCCCAGCAATCCCCGTAGCTGGCACCTCCCGCCTCGCAGCGGAGACCCCCGGCCATCCCAGCTGAGGGGCTTGGGCTGCGCTCGTGGCCGGACCGGGCCAAGCGGGGAGGCCGGTCCCGCGGGCGGGGGCGGGGGCGGCTCCGCGGCTTCTCCCGCCGCCGCCGCCAAGGGGAGTTTCCAGGAAGTGGCCATATTGGATCCATTCAGCCGCAGCCGCCCGGGCGGAGCGCGTCCCGCAACCGGCTTGTCCCCGTCGCGGCCCGGGTGTCGCCCCGGCTCGCCCGCCCGGTGCGGAGCTCGCCATGGCGGCCACTGACCTGGAGCGCTTCTCGGTGAGGGCCCTGCTGGGCCGCGGCGCGCGCGGGAGGCGCGGGGCGCGGGGAGGGGGCCGCCCTGCTGCTGGCCGGGGGCGCGAGCCGGGCTGTCAGCGCCGCGCGGCCGGGCCTTGACGCCGGGCGGGCCGGAGGACCCTGGAGCGGGCTCTTCGCGGCGCTGGTCCCGGGTCCCGGGGCGTCGGGCGCGGGCGCCTTGCCGGGAGGCTGGCGGGGTCGCCCTCCTTGGGCGAAGAAAAACAGACCCCTTTCGCGAAAAGGAGCAGATAAATATCCGCCTGGTTGTGGCCCGGTGTGACGACAGACTGGGGCCCCGGGAATCAGAGGGAAGATCCAGGATACTCCGGAGCCCCCCTCTCCCTGAGTGTTCTTTGCACGGCTGGGGAGATTCCTGGCCGCGCAGGTGCTGCTGGATGGGCACAGTCGGTGACGATGAAGCCCTAGGGATCCTAGGAAGTCCCTCGGATGAGCTCAGGGCAGTTGCAGACTTGGGTCCTGAAGATCTTGGCCTGCTGCTCCTTCCCGCTCCAACCCCCGCCCGCCACCCAAGCGCAGAATCCAGGGTGCGATTCCAGTGGGTGCCTCAGTGGTCGGATCTGAGGCGGCCGTTCCCCAGGAACTGGAGCGATTCCACATTCAACCCAGTGGATGTTTGTTTGGGCCCCAGACCGGGTATGCCTTCTGCAGGGGTATCGTCTCTGGTGGTCCCTGCAGAGGCCTCTTTGGGCTTGAGCCAGCCAGTAACCAACTTCCCAAAGGTTTTCATAATCTGTCCCCCCACCCCACTCCCTCCGGGGAGAGAGGCCTTTTGGGGATTGTATCTGCATGTCCCCCAATGTCTAAGGCTGGATTTGGGTGTGTCTGGGAGGTTGAGCTGTGACAGTGAAGGAAACTGTGTCCTCTTGCCAGCATGTGGGGCCCTGGTCGGTGCTAAGGGGGAGGAGGGCCCAGGGATGTTGTGGGTAGTGGGTAAATGCTAAATATGTGACTGATAAGGAATTGGTTCTGGGGCTAAATAAGGAATTCAGGACTTATGTAATTAATGCTATAAATATTGCCATCTGAATTTATATATGTAAATTTTCTCTTTAATCTGAAAATACATTTGTTGGTCTATTTTGGAAACATGCGTAACTAAAGCAGGAACTCTTGGTGTCATAATTTTAGACTTGAATGTTTTATGAAGGGGTTGCGAGTCAGTATAAATACAGGAGGAGCAGATTCAGAGGTTGGGCAAATCAGAGATTCACCCCAGCCCTGCACTCTGAACAAGAATTTATGTACCCCAGGAGGGCTGTGCCTGAATCCCAGCAGACCTGCTGGTTAGCTGGAGACCAGCAGACCTGTGTGTGTTTGCACATCTCTGCCTGCATGCCTCTGTGCATTTTCTGTGCCCAGCTGACCAGAAAGTTATGTCGGAGTCTTGTCTTTCTGTGGCCAGAGGTTGCTGTAACAGTTGGTCTTGCAGGTGGGAGCGGTATGCTGAGTAACTGGAATCAGACTGCCTGACATGAATCCTAGATTACTACTTGTTGGCTGTGTGACCTTGGGCAAGTTGTTTAACCCCTCAGTATTCTCATCTGTATAATGGGATAAAAATACTACCTCCCTCATAAGGTTATAGGAAGGGTTTAATGAGAGGGTCCAGATGAGGTACTTAGAACAGTGTCTGGCACATGATGAAGACACAGGAAATGATACAGATACTTAGTACCCATGTGGATGTGAAGACTGGCCCTCTGTGTAAGACGGTAGCAGAGAATGAATTTGCTCTGTTCCAGGGCACCCTTCCTAGGGGCTCCCACCACTACCCACCCAGGGATTATCCTCAGAGGCTGAGCTGAAGGGTCTAGCTGCCGTGCCAGGCGATGAGCTGGAAAGGCTCTTCCCCTTAGATTCCTGTCTTTGCAAGGATTTCAGGTATTATCAACTTGGTAATAATGACTGAGGCACAGAGAGGGGACTGACTCAAGTAAGGATGTACAGCCTGAGTTCAGGATGGATACCTTCCACACCCTTCACACTCTGAGCCATCAGCCTCCTGGGAGGACTTGGACATGGTTGAATTTGGGTGGAGACCTTGGGTTGGGTTTGGCCTGAGTCTCAGAGTCTGGACTCCATTCTCCTCTCCTATCTTGTCATCCTGGGAAAATGATTTCTTCCTTTCTCCTGCTGTAAAGTCGGAACAACCCTACTGATACTCTTCAAAGCGTTTATGAAGATAATTGCAGTCTGTGACATGTTTGGAGATATGTTTAGCTGTCTTACCAGCTGCAGGTTGAACTGGTGTTAATCAGTGGCCATGAGGTTATAATTTGATTGAGCTGTGGCAGGTTGACACTGTTCCTCAGGCTAGCTTTGTGGTCAGACCAGCTCAGGAGGACATGGGAATTGTCCCAACCTGGAACTTAGATGAGCATATGGAATGATACTTTTTCTTGGGGGCGGGGGAGTCACATTGCATGAAATGTGTGATTTTAGCTCCCTGACCAGAGATAAAACCCACACCTTCTGCAATGGAAGCATAAAATCCTAACCACTGGACTGCTAAGGAGGTGCCTGGAATGGTACTTTGAGGTCAGTGTGTGCTGGGTTCCTATTGTCCACAGGCTGAGCGACCTTTACATTTTGACTGGGCCTTGCTCAATCCTAGATCAGCCCTGAGGTTATGATCAAAATCTCCTAGGATGTTCATGTCTGGGACAGCCCTCTGGGGAGTCTGTTGCCTCTTGCCCTCCTTGGGCAGCCAGATTCCTATCCACTCTTCCTCTGCCCTTCCTCCTTACTGGATCCTAGACTCTTTTTCTGTCCCAGGGGCCATCTTCTGTGCCTCTCCTGTCAGAATCTCATGGGGCAGGGTTCAAACTCCATGGTGGGGGAGGACCGAGGAGGGGCTGGAGAAAATGAAGATCTGAGGGAGAGAGGGAAGAAACGTGTGGCATGGCAGCCTGGAGCCTGGCACTCCTCCCAGCCAGTCACTCCCCTCCCACCCCCATCTCCACTTTATCCCCAGCGCCATCTGTCACTTCCGTTGTCACCCCTGTAATCTTGACACTTTCCCAAGAAGCAGGCTATCCAGGGAATGCCTATTCTGTCCCCAAGACAAGAGCTGGTTGGAAGGAATGTAGAAAGCAACCCCTTACTCAAGTGGGGGTGTCACAGAGGGTGTCTCCCTGTCCTATAAAAATGGCCAGAGACCTCTCTGCTGAGCTGTTCTGAAGAAGTGAGAACTGAGCAAGGGACATCAGTGCAGCTCTCAGTGCCTGGTGGTGGGGAGGGGCCGTACATGAGCACCACCTGCAGAGCTGAAGCCCCACCCCCTGCCCCTGGGAGGTTGGTCCACCCTGCTCTGCCCCCCGCCGTCCATGGGCTTTGTACCATGCTATCTATGGGTGCTCACTTTAGAAAGGTCTGCCCAGAATCTGCATTGGAATGGACCAGAGCAGGCACACTGATGAGGAGGCGCTGGTGATCCAAGGGAGCACATGACAAGGGATTGACCAGAGCAGGAGCAGAGAAGGTGGTAAGAGGGAGACCGGCCACAGTGCTAACAATGCGGGAGAACAAATGGATGCTGGGAACCCAGGGCCGGATATTTATCAAAAGCTTTGGATGGCAGGGAGGGTGCTGGGTGCTTTGTGTCCGTCATCTTGATGCCAGCAGCTCGCAGTTGGGTGAGATGCAGACTCTGGGGCCTGAGACCTACCCTCAGCCCCCAAGGGCCCCTTGTGATGACAGAGAGGGTGGAGCCCTCTTGAGTTTGGAGACCAAAGATGAGCTAGGTGGAGGTATGTGTTGGGGGCAATAACCACCACGAAGGTTTCTGTGGCTCTGGTCCAGCTACCAGAAGGAAGCTGCTGCAGGATGACGGAGCAAAGGGCCTGAGGACTGGCTGGCCTCTGTGTGTCTCCTGCAGCCTCTCCGATCTTCCTGCTTCTCTGCTGCCGGTTTGGCTCTCTCTCAGGATCCCCAGTCCCGGCCCCCAAGGCACAGGCTTTGCCAGACAACCAGGTATGGAGCTCTGCAGGCAGGAGGGAGACACGTGTGCCTGGGGAAAGGATGCCTCCCAAGGTCGACATGCCCTCATGATAGAGCTGGGGTGTTCTTTACTGGAGCTGTCTGCATCCTCAAGGCTCATGTGAGGAACTGTGGCTGGGAAGAGGTGGTGGACGACAAAGCACGGGGCGTGTGGGCTGTAAGATTCATCGCCCCTGATGGCATTGGGGCAAATTAGATATTCTCCTCCTCAGAACATAGGGCTTGCAGATGGTTCTTGGTCCTTCTCTTGGAAGCTGCATTAGAGGGACAGAACCAGGGGAGGAAGTAGTAAGAGCCTATTTCAGATCACAGGTGCTGGCTTCTTTCTGAAGGCTTTCCTGGGCTTGGGCCACCTGAGGGCTGTGGTTCGAGAGGGCCTGTGGGCCATGGATCCAAGTCCACTGACCAGATCTGGCTGTGGGGCCTGGGTGCGAATGTGATGCTCTGTCTGGTGCTGGGGTGAATGGTGCAAGCAACAGAGAAGCATAGCCGTGCTGCCCTGAGCCCCTGCTGGCTCACGTCAATGCTCATGTAGTTCTCTGCTTCTTCCCGGCACCGGCATCCGTCCAGGGGCAGGAGGAGGGCATGGTTACCTTTGCTGCCTGTATTCTTCTTTCCAAAGTTCACTGTGGGACAAAGGCCACCTCTGTCCCACGATGTCTCGACCCCTGTGGTCGTCCCTGCTGCGGGGAAGTCCCCAAGTCCCAAGTGGGAAAGTATGAACGCCTGGGCTTGCAGTACCTTCTGTGGCCCAGAGTGCCTTCCCCATCTGCTGTGTGGTGGGATGGACCATTCCCTCCCACGGGAGGCACAACACCACAAAGTCTAGGGACATTTTTGTGTCCTGGCTCTGGGGAGGGCTGGGTGGGCCCAGAGGCTGATAACTGGGCTCTTGGCTTCTTGGAAACCTGATTCTGACATGAGAAGTGTGAAACAAACCATCCCAAATTACGGAATGGCAG